AGCTCAGGCACAGCAGTGACATTTGGCCGGCCCAGTGGGGAAGGACTTGGCCTTCTTGCTGGGCTGGGCACCGCTCAGCAGATGGGGCCCAGAGAGCAGAGGCTGCATGGGGCGGCCAGGACACGGAGCTGGGGGGTGCGTGGGGATGCAAACCTCAGGTTGGAGAGGCCATTAATAAGAGGTCTCTGAAGATATTCGTGGCCTGTGGCCCAGGCTGCCCTAGAGCAGGGACTCTGGCAGCAGAAAACTCCATTCAAGGGGCAGTGGGCTGGGCGGGAGGGCTGGGGGGTGGGCGGCTCTGAACTCAGGCCAGGAAAATGTCTGGAGGCCAGATTCCAGGCCGGGGGCCAAGTTCTCAAAGTACCCCCTGGTAGTCCCCTCCTCCTCACTGGAGCCAGCCCTTTCCTTCTCTTTGTTGCCAACATGGGGCAAGATTAAGGCTGGAATCTCATTGGCTGCTGCTCTGTTTCTCACAGTTGTGAGAAAAAGTTGTGGATATGGAGAACGTTGATTCCGAGGTCCTGAGCAATTTTCAAATGTCTTCAGAAGCCTTCAGGAGGTAGAGGGGGAAGTGGAGGGGAAGGAGGCAAAGGAGGAAGTGGGGGAGAGGGAGGAGGAGAACAGTTCTAGGGCAAGTGTTTCTGAAAAGCCTGTAGTGATGGAGATCCACTGGGATTCCAGTCCTTACTTTGGAGGCTATGTGACTTAGTGATGTGACTTTGGACACATCACTTGACCTCTCTGAGCTTCATTTTCCTCACGTGTGAAAGGGAGTAACAGTGGCCACCTACCCCACAGGCTGTCAGGATAAAGTGAGGTGCTGCATGTAGGACTCTGCACAGAGCATCTTTGGACAACAGCAGTTCTTCATAGAAGTTAGGTGCTGCTGTTACAATGCTGTTAATAACAGGGATGGTAAATCTGCTGCCCATTGGCAAGTCCACTCCCAAGAACTGGGTGGGACCCAGAAGCCTGGCCAGTCTTGCCTTTCTGTCTTGGGCTGCCACCTATTGGCAAGGACTGGACTTACAGTTGCTGCAAAGAGTTTGCCATGACTGAGGGAACAGATGGATACACTCCCCTCTTCGCCAGCCCGGTCCTCCCTTCTGGGGAGAGAGGAAAGAAAGAGTGTTGACCAGAAGAGGGTAGGGAAATACGGGCCCCCACTTCTGAGGCCATGAGTAGCTTGCAGAGGTTCCTGAATCCTTGCCCACCCAATGATGAGAAAGTCAGTCCCCAAGTCTTGTTCATTTTACTTCCTGAATGTCGCTAGGACTGGCCCCCCTTTCCCACCCCTGTGCCATCTCCTGGTCCCTGCCATCACCCTCTCTCCCTGGTTGAGGCCAGCCTCCTCACTCATCTCCCCACCTCTGTTGATTTCTTCACCCAGCAGCCAAGAGGAATTTTGTTAAAACTGCAAATCTGATCATGCCGCTGCCCAGCTTAAATCTCTCAGGGTGTCCTCGTGGACCCTGGACAAAGTCCAAGCCCCTTTGCCCAGCCCACAAGGCCTTTCAGGTCTCACTCCTGGGCACTCAGCCCTTCTCTCCTGCCCTCTGCCCTTCCAGGCCTTGTTCATGCTGTTCCCTTGCCCGGGACACTCCTCCTTCCCCTCCTCGCCTGGCGAACTCCTATGCATCCCCAAGGCTTCCTCCAGGACGCCTTTCTTGATTCTGCAGTCCTTCCCCCAACAAATGCTTACCAAGCCACGTTGTCTCTTGACTGGTGCCCCACCCTGTCCCCCAGACTATGGGCCAGGGCTGTGCCTGGTTTTCTTCACCACAGTGCCTCCAGTGCCTCCCTAGGTGCTGACATGTCACAAGCGAGTAACAACTGTAGAGGGAGGAAACTGGCTCTTGGTGGTAATAAACTCAGTGATATAGACCACTCTCTACCGTCTGTCTGCAGCCGTTTCTTGGACTCTGACCTGCTCCACCCTGAGCTGAGCTGGGGGCCCCTATAGTGCCCTGGAAATGATGTTGAGTCTGACAGATGTTGGCCACCCTGCAACGCCCATCCCAGGGGGCCCAGGGTGGCTGCCTCTAAAATGTTGTCTCCTGGGTGGCTTTTGGTGGTACAGCTGATTGTCTGTTGGGTTTTTCCATAACCATATTTGGAGGCTGATCCACTGAGCCCCGCCCCAGTGTGGGGTAGGATGGGCGTGCACAGCCCGCAGTCTCAGCCTCGAGTTCCTCAGCGAACGGCAGAAGTGGCCTCTCCCACAGGCTCCACAGCAAGTGCAGCGTCCTCGCTCTGCACTTTTCCTCATCGAGAACTGACCTTTTAATGACAACAATTCCTGCAGACCAGTGGTCTTGTCTCCTAGTCCAGACACCCGTTCAGTCCCATCCAGGGGCTGTGCCCACTGCCTCATCCCACTGACATTTTCTCAGTTGTCTGTAAAGCATTGTGCAGTGCAGCTCCCAGAAAAGTACTGTGTGTCTTCTCTTCCAACCAGGTGGCCACCTATGTGCTTATAAAATAATGGCCACTGAAACCAAGGGTCCCTGTGACTTCAATTAAATTTAGCTTTAAATCCCAGCTCTAGAAATCATCTGTCTGTCTATCTATCTATCTATCTATCTATCTATCTATCTATCCACCCATCCATTTAATCTTTCAGAGACCTGGCCTTTTCCCTCCATAATCAGCAACCCCCAAGGCAGCAGAAGACAGGAGACCAGCCTCGACTAAAGGTCACAGGGTCTGGACCCCTGGCAGGCTAAAGATAACATCTTCACCTAAGTTATGTTTCAGCTTCTGAGCTCTAAGGTAGAATGACCCCCTGGCTACTTTTCCATGGGATCAGACAGACTAAGAACTTTCCTCAAAACCTGAAGAAAAGATTCATCACCCTCACCTCACCTCTAACCAATCAGCAACCAGCATGGCCCCAAAACCCCCTAGCCCGTGGTGCCTTGTGATCTTGCCCTACATAACCTGTAACCTACATGCCCTCTGGGAGCCCTGTCTTCAGAGCATGAGCTCCTTGTCTCCGTATTGGCCAACTCAATATTAAACTGTTTTTTCTTTCTATACTGCAAACTCCTGCCATGTGCATTTCTTCCGGCTGGTGTGCATAGACAGGTGGACTCAGAAAAATTATTGGGGTCCCAGTGAGACCCCTGCCAAGAGCTTTGCTTAGCTTCTGGTCATGAACTCTTGTTGGCAATTCTTATAGTTCACTTCTAATTTCATGAGGCATCCTTGCTTGTTAAGGAAAGAATTCAAATAGTTCCTGGTTGTAAGGGAAACTTCCTGCTACCTTCATTCCAGAGTGGGTATCTGGTCAGATGTTTTCTATTTATTTATTTCTCTTTTTGACAACTCTTGGTGGTGTGGCTATTTTATCATATTTAATGCCCGGGAGCCCCTGAGGAACTGACATGGTCTCCCATTTACCAGGGGGACAGTGCCTCAGAGGGGTGGCACGACGTGCTCAGCTGGAGGGCAAGCGGCAGAGCCAGTGCCCGGCTGGCCTTTCTGATGGCTCACTGCCCGGGGTGGGTAACTACTGGTCAGACCAGGAGTGAGTCAGCTGAGAGAAAAGGATGGCTTGGTCAGGGTCTTTGGCCTGCAGAAGCCCCCCATGCTGCTTTACTCAATTAGTTCTGGGGTTGGGAAGGAAGGCACTGGGGTTCAGTGGGCGCCCTTTGCTCACACCCACGTCTGGTGCTGGCTAAGGTCCTGGTCACTTGGAACAAAATGGAGGGAGTGGAGCAAATTTGCTTGCTTATGCAAACCTGCCAGGCATTATATTGAGGTATGTGTCTATGTACGTGGTTAGTTGGGGCTGTGAGCAACCCCTATTTTTAACCCTTGAGTGTGATTTACAAGTGGTTGGAGGAGGAGGGGGATGTGGGACTGGCCAGGTGGCTGGCTGGGCTCCTTCATCAGCCAGGCCTGCTCCATGTGTCTCATCAGGCTTTCCCCACTGATCTTGACCCTACAGCCACGGCAGCCCATGTCCCAGCCTGCCGTGGCCCCTGCCAAAGCTCCCACGCTCTGTCTGTCTCTACCCCAGATTCCCTCAGCACATTTGAAGCCCTGCCCATCCCCAGGGCTGGGAACTGGGAGCCCTCGCCAATGGAGTGCACAGGACTTCAGCTTCTGCTCTTCCACAGCTTGGGGCATTTGCACTGGGGTGTGGGCATCTTCTCAGTGAGCCCTGGGGCCCGGTACACACTCCAGGATTGCTAGTGTTCTCTGTGCCCAGGATTTGGTCTAGAGACCCCTGGTGCTTCTCAGACACCCCAGGTGGGGTCTTAGCACCGTATCCCTTGGGCCTCATCAGTTCTGTGGGCTCTGGTGGGTGGTAGCAACATCTCTCGGCTAAGGACTACTCTTCTCTATGTAAGGCAGATGTGAAGGGCCTGGGAATTCACACGGGCCCCCACACTAGCAGCCCTCCAACAATGACTGATGGGAGGTGGTGCATGAGGTTGCTCCTGACCCTCGGAGATCTCAGGGTGTGTGCTCTACACCGATTCCTAGGGGTGCCTGCAGGTTAGTGCTGCTCACTCACAGCACATCCTTTATTAGCTCCTTCTCTACCCTGTCTTACTTCCCCATGCTCCCATTGGTGTTTTCTAGAATCACTTGTCAAATAAACCTCAGGGGCTGCTCCTGGGGAACTTTGCGAAGACAGCTAGAATGTTCTCCCTAAGCCTGCCTTTCAGCCCGCCTACTCTCTCCCACCTCTGCCAGAACCCTCCACTTCCCTGTCCCCTCCGGCTGTCACTCTAGCAGCAGGTGCAGTGTTCTCCACGTCCAGCGTCCAGCCCTCGGCTCTGTTCCTCTGGATCTCACACCCTACGCTGGGAACCATGGAGTTTTTCACACCTGAACAGAGATCCTTGTGAAGTCAACCTCCTTTCCAGCTGCAAACCTGCTGCCAGAAGCTGTCACCAACCTGTTCAAACTTGCAGCCCAAGTAATCCCAATCTAGACCTTTCCGATCGCAGGGAGGAATGCTGCACACCGAGTTTTCAGAAAGTTCATTCAGTGTCAGCAATAATAAAGTTTAATTCTGCCTTGGTGTGGAGAGCCCATCCTTTCTCAGGGGCAACAGTCAGAGACCTTGAGGGAAAGTCCACCTGTTCTCTCCACAGGCAGCAGCCCCAGGAGGATCCTCTGAGGCTGGCCCCCTCTAGGTGGGACAGTGCCTCAGCCAAGGCGAGGCTTTGTTCCTGAAAAGGGGAAGTGCGCAGAGAGTGCATGGACCCTCAGTGCTCCACACGGCTGCAACAGTCTCTTGGTCCCTCGTCCTCGCTGTCCTTCAGCTCCAGCCAGTCCAGCTCTTGCAACCCGGGAGGAGCTGCAGTAGCCCTAGAATGTCTTCCTGGGCACGCAGCCCTCCAGCTCTAGCAGCTCTGGCCAGCCCTCGTATTTGTTGGTGTTGGGGTCGTTCTTTAAGAACTAGGGAGTGAGAGAAGAGGGAGAAACAGACAATGGGGGAGGCTGTTCAGGACTCACACCTGCATTTACACTGTGCTTTAAAACCCAAATGCTTTCACTTACTTCATCCTCACCATCGCCCCATGCGGGGCAGTGTTGGATGTTACCAGTCCACCTCACGGATGGGCACATTGAGGCTCAGAGGGGCTGGAACTTGCCCAAGGTTTCAGAGATGGGATCAGAGCCTAGTCACTGTCTGTCATGGGGGGTGGGGTGGGGCACTGAGGATAGGGGTGGGGCTGCAGAGTTTAGCCCCTCTGCCAAATTCCACATCAGTCCCTCTAGAATATCCAAAATAATAATAGCAACAATTGAAAAGGCATAGTAGCAATTATTGAATGCTTGCACTATGCCAGGCACAAGGTGCCTTATGTATTTAATCCTCACAGTAGCCCTAAGAAAAGCATACTATCATCATCCCATTACACAGATGGGGAAAATGAGGCAAAGGGGGCCTGCTTATGGCTACCCATCTGGTACATACACAGTGGAACCACTGTCTAATATTGTTTAATATTAATAATACATATAAATAATATATAAAGGAAATAAAATCCGGTAAGATTGTCTTTAACATGCCCAGGCTTAGTTTATGAAAGAAAAGTGTAAATGGCAAAATCCGCAGTCGGAGTCACTGGGCTAACCCTTGGGGAGAAAGAGTAGATTCCAGACGCTGCTTCTCCAGAACCCAGTTTCCCTCGTGTGGGAGCAAGGACACGACGGCTTTATGGCATCACCGTCTTTGGTTCATTTCTGGGTGGTGGGTCCCAGGAAGCTGATACTAAATTTCAGGTAAAGGATGATGCTGACTTTCTTCTACTGATGTGCTTCCCCTTTGCTGTCTTGGTCCAGTCTTGATGGGTCTGGAAGCTGTGCTTTAAGGAGGAGCAGTGACTGCCCTACATATTCCTGGAAAAGCCTGCCCCCACCCCTCCCCTGAGGACTTCCTACAGGACCTTCTGGACACCCTGGCCCCGCCTCCTGTGTTCTTCACCCAGAGGGTCCTTTCCTTTTTACTTCCAGCACAACATACTTTGTGTTATTTGTTTGCTTTTTAAAGAGTAATTTCTAGCCCTGGCTGGTGTAGCTCAGTAGATTGAGTGCTGGCCTGCAAACCAAAGGGTCACCAGTTCAATTCCCACTCAGGGCATGTGCCTGGGTTGTGGGCCAGGTTCCCAGTGGGGGGTGTGCTAGAGGCAACCACACATGTTTCTCTCCCTCTCTTCCCCCTGTCTAAAAATAAATAAACACAATCTTAAAAAAAGTAATTTCTAGTTACCTCTCTTTGAAACATGTGCATACGAACTAGGCCCACGTTTTCCAGACAAGGAAAACCCCACTGCAGCCCCACTGTGGTCGTCCTCCCTGGCTTCAGCATGAGGCCTCTTGACTCTGCCCCTGCTCTGCCCCTGCAGCCCCTGCCCTGCCAGCTGCTGGTCAGGTATCCGATCATTGCAGCCCTCCTCCCTGCCTTCGCAAGGTTCACCTCCCGCAGTGCTCCCCAAGCTCAGCCAGGGCGGCCGCTCTGAAAGTGGTCACGACTGGAAACACTTGTTTGTGGAGGCAGTGGACCTGGATGAGAAATCCATTCGCATCACTGAGACCCGAGCGAGCTGGTTAAAACTGCTCCAGGGCTTGGGATCCTCGTCAGTGAGATGGGATCGTAATTGTACCTACTTCATGGTGGGTATTAATGTCAGACCCCTCGCGGAATTTGGTCTGGTGCCTGCACAGAGCAAGTGCTTGCTGAGTGCTAGGCTTTCTTATTATCAATCTGCTTTTGTAACTCTCTCTCTCTTTCAAGCCTCCCATGGCTCCCCACAGCCTTCAGGACAGAGTCCAGGCCCCTCAGTGGTCTTGTGTGTCTGAATCATTGACCTTTAGCTCCCCGTCTTGGATCTGGGCAGAGCTGAACCTTCTCCTCACCATGCCAGGGAAGGCCTGGCCAATTCTCCCGGGTTTCAGAATTGCTCTGAGCTGGGAATGTGCAGATGGGGTCTGCGTGGCCAAGGGGAGAAGATGAAGTGTTTCCTTGGGGCCCCCAACCCTCCGTCAACTCCCCCTTCCTCCAGTGAGCACTCCTCAAACTCCACTTCTGGGTGCCTCCCTGACCCCCTCCCCTCGGGCCGCCTGGATAGTGGCTGCGAGTGGGATATTGTGGAGCCCTCCTGACTCCTCCCACATACTCAGGTGGGCTCTCCTCTGTCCCCTTCTTGGGGCAAGTTCACCCTCTCCACAGGGAACCTAGAAGGGGCCTCAGGCTCCCCTCACCCAACCCCTCCCTACTTTACAGCTGGGGAGACCTGGGCCTCGGGGGAGGTGGGGCTTGGCTAAGTGGGGCCAGAAGCCAGGCTTTCTGACCCCGGCTCTAGGCTCCCCTTCCCACCACACAGCCTTCCTCTCCACGCTCCTTTCTCTTTCTTCCAAGCCTCGCTGTCCTTGTCCCCTTCTCCTCTCCTTCTCCTCCTTTTTGGCACTTACGAATCTACGCATTTATATATATTTTTGTAAAATGGTCAAGGCCACTTCCTGCTGGGGGGTTAGCCATGCGGGCCACCCTGACCTCTGGGCTGGATGACAGCCAAGTGGCCCTCCCCACGCCGCCGTGTGTGTCCTTCCCAAGCCACCCCAGTCCTTGTCCATCTGTCCCTGACACTGCTGCCCTCACTGGGCTGGGGAGGCTGCCAGGAACCCACCTGCTCAAAGGGGCTGTTACTCTTGATGTCTTTTGCCCCTAAGAAGACCCAGCTGTCCCGGAAGCCCAGTTGCTTGGCGTAGGAGCTGCCCAAGTTGGAGAAGAGCGCCCGGAGCTCATCGTTCATTCTGCAGAGGACAGGAGAGGACGGTCAGGCCGCGGGATGGGAGAAGGGTGAGCTGTGCAAGCACTGGGCGCCCCTTGGCCACGTGTGACAGAGCCTGCGGAGTCACCTCGGGAGAAACAGGGTGGGGGGCTAGGACTCCCCCCTGAAGGCCATGCAGAGGGAGCTGGAGAGGCGTTAGGACAGTTTTGCTTCTGTTTACAGATGTAATACATGCTCATTTGGAAAATATTGAACATCACAAAGTAACTAAAAATTACAGTCTAATTCCTTTGACATAATCATTGTAAAATTTTAATATATTTCTTTCATGTCTTTTTCCCCAGTGTTGTGGGATCATACCAGCTCTTTCATAACCTGCATTTAAAAAAATCCTCACCTGAAGATATATTCACTGACTTTAGAGAGAGATGAATGGAGGGAGGGAAGGAGGAAGAGAGGGAGGAAGAGACAGAAAGAGAGAGAAATATTGATGTGCGAGAGAAACATTGATTAATTGTTTCCTGTACGTGCCCTGGCCTGGGATTGAATCTGAAACCTAGGTATGTGTCTTGACCAGGGATCAAACCCATAACCTTTTGGTGAACAGGATGACACTCTGACTGACTTAGCCCCCCAACTACGGCTACGGGCTTTTGTTTTTTTTTCACTTAATACTATAGGATGAACACCTGAAGCTAATATTAAAAAGGTGTTGAATGCAAACTGTAATAAAAAATAAAAAATACTGAAGGATAAGTATTCTTCCATGTCCTTAAGTATTTTCCACCCCTCCACTTTTGATGCAGTCTGCCTTTTTAGGTATGTAAGAAAATCTGTCCCATAATCTGCCCGTCATGACTTCTGTAACTGGTCAGTCATCCTGGACGGGAGAGTGTGTCCGGTTTTCACTGTTGTAACCAAGGCTGTAATGAACCTCCTAGAACATCTCTTTATGCACTTGTCTGATTGTTTCCTTAGCAGAAGTTTCCAGAAGATGGGAATAGTGGTGAGCTAGAAAGGGATGGAGGGCTTGGAAGATTTGGTCCCTTCTCCCTCTGGCCTGGCAGGGGGGTTTCTCACTTACTTGGTCCCTGGGTCATCGTAGGAGGCCACTAGCACAAGCATGTCCTCTGTGATTTCTTTAAGGAATTTCACCAGGAGCATAGGATCTGGGGGAGGAAGGAAAGCAAGGTGCTGGTCACTGAGGGGGGAGACTGCTGGCCATTCTCATTCTCTCCTACTGCCCTCCCGATCCAGGAGTGGCCCAGGAGGCTGACACCGAGCTCCATCTGCCACTCAGGGCCCAGTGGGAGGTCGCATGGTGGGGTGGAGCTCCCAACCCAGGTGTGCGGGTGTCCTCACTCAGGTGGTCTGGGGGTGGTGCTGGGGTTTGAAAGTCCCTCAGGTGACTCTGATATGCAGCTGGGGGTGAGGACTACTGGTCTGAGGGCCATTAGAGACTTTCTCTCAGGGGATGGAGCTCAGTCCTCTCTCAGGAGCTCCGGGCTCTTTGCACACCCCAGCTGCCTCCTTCTCTACTGGTTAGGAGCCTAGTTTGTCTGTACTGACTTATTTATTTTTTAATTAAAGTATAGTTACCATATAATGTTATATTAGTTTCACGTGAACAACATAGCGATAAAGGTCAAATTTATATATCTTACAGAGTGATCACCACGAGAAGTCGTGACCATCTGTCACCATGGAAAGTCGTTATCGTGTTATTGATTATACTCCCTGTGCTGCACATTACATTCCCGTGACTTCTGTGTATTATAACTGGGAGTGTGTCCTCTTATTCCCCTGTACCTTCCTCACTCATCTCCCCCCCCTGCCACCCCTCCCCCCGGCAGCCATCGGTGTGTTCTCTGTGTCTGGGAGTCTGCTTCTGTTCTGTTTTGTTAGTTTGGTTAGTTGTTTTTTACATTACAGATATAAGTGAAATCATATTGTACTTGTTCTTCTCTGTCAGACTTATTTCACTTAGTGTAATATCCTGTAGGTCCATCAATGTTGTCACAAATAATAAGATTTTATTCTTTTTGGGCGCTTCCTGCCAACATGGGGGCATAGGTACATATGCTTCACTTCCTCACACAAAGAAAAGAAGAATAACAACCAATTTAAAAACAAAAAGCAACCAGAATTGCCAGTAAATCAAACTGTATGAGAGTCCAACAACCAAGAAGTTAAAAAAGCATTCATCTAGACTGGTGGGGGGGTGGGGATAAGAAACCGGGGTAGAAAGAACATGTGACAAGGTGGTGGCTGGTGGATTGGGATATCCCACACTTGCGTGAGGATAAACTGGGAGGAACTGGGCAGTGAGACAGACTGTGCAACTCAGGGTTCCAGCACAGGAAACTAAAGCCTCAAAACCTCCAGCTGTAAAAACCTGTGGGTGTTGAGGTGGGAGGAGAAACTCCCAGTATCATAGGAGAGTCTCTTGGAGAGACCCATGGGGTCCTAGAATGTACACAAACCTACCCACCCAGGAATCAGCACCAGAAAGGGCACAATCTGCTAGTGGGAAGCGAGGGAAGCGACTGAAAGAAGGCCAAGAGCTGAGCAAGTGGGACTGTTCCCTCTCTGACCCCTACCCCACATAAAGCCCCACAGTGCAGCAAAGTGGGTTGCCCTGCCCTGGTGAATACCTAAGTCTCTGTCCCTTACGATGTAACAGGTGTGCCAAAACAAAGAGGTATAGCCCAAATGAAAGAACAGGTCAAAACTCAAGAAAAAGAACTAAGTGACGAGGAGATAGCCAACCTATCAGATGCAGAGTTCAAAACACTGGTAATCAGGGTGATTACAGAAATGATTGACTTTGGTCACAAAATAAAGGAAGAAGTGAAGGTTATGCAAAGTGAAATAAAGAAAAAAATACAAAGAACTAACAGTGAAGGGAAGAAAACTGGGACTCACATCAATGATTTGGACAGAAGGAAGAAATAAACATTCAAATGGAACAGAATGAAGAAACAAGAATTCAAAAAGTGAGGAAAGGCTAAAGAACCTCTGGGATAACTTTAATGTCCCAACATCTGAATCATAGGGGTGCAAGAAGGAGAAGAGAAAGACCAAGAAATTGAAAAGTTATTTGCAAATATAATAAAGAAAAACATCCTCAGTCTGGTGAAGGAAACAGACATCCAAGTCCTGGAAGCTCAGAGTCCCAAAGAAGTTGGACCCAAGGAGGAACACACCAAGACACATCATGATTAAATTACCCAAGATGAAAGATAAGGAGAGAATCTTCAAAGCAGTAAGAGAAAAGGAGAGAGTTACCTACAAAGGAGTTCCCATAAGACTATCAGCTGCTTTCTCAAAAGAAGCCTTGCTGGCAAGAAGGGGCTGGGAAGAAGTACTCTAAGTCATGAAAAGCAAGGACCTACAACCTAGATTACTCTATCTAGCAAAGCTATCATTTAGAATAGAAGGGCAGATAGTGCTTCCCAGATAAGATCAATTTAAAGGAGTTCATCATCACCAAGCCCTTATTTATAAAATGTTAAAGGGACTTATATAAGAAAAAGAAAATCAAAACTATGAACAGTAAAATAACAACAAACTCAAAACTACCAACAACTGAACCTAAAAAAAGCCCCACCCAAAACAAAAACAAACTAAGAAAACAACTAGAACAGAAATGGAATCACAGAAATGGAGGTCACATGGAGGATTATCGGGGGAGGGGGAGGAAGGAGAATGGAGGAATAGTTATAGGGAATAAGAAGCATAATTGGTAGGCACAAAATAGAAAGGGGGAGGTTAAGAATAGTATGGGAAATGGAGAAGCCAAAGAACTTATACGTATGACCCATGGACATGAACAAAAGGGGAAATGCTGGTAGGAGGAGGGTACAGGGTGGAGGGGGCTAAAAGGAAGAAAAAAAGACAACTGTAATAGCATAATCAATAAAATATACTTAAATAAAAGAAAAAAAATATTTTTTATGGCTCTGTAATATTCCACTGCATACACACACATATATATACATATATACACACATACACACCCCATATCTTCTTTAGCCTTTCGTCTAGTGATGGACACCTAGGTTGCTTCTATATCTTGGCTACTGTAAATAATGCTGCAATGGATATAGGAGCGCATATGTCTTTTTGGATTCCTTTGGAGGGTACGCCCACTGGGCTGTGGGCAACTGGAGTCACTGAGAGAGAATATTAGGCTCCTACAACTCTCCAACTTACATCATGGAACAAAGCTCTATTGCATCTTTAATACCATCCTGCACCATGAAAAGTCTGCATCTGGCAGAGAGCAGGCCTAGTTGTGAGGGGGAGGGCCATCAGCTCCCTGCTCCCTTCTAGGACACTGATTTGTTTCTGTTGTGTTTATTGGTTTGACCCAAAAAGCACTAATGGTTAAGTATAGGGCGATGATATAATTTCCTTTTAAGATATACTTACTTAGGTTAAAAAAGTGAGCTGATTTAAAGGAAAATATTAATAACACAGATGGTTCTCTGGACATGGTATAACTTGTGCAAGGAGCTCTTGTATGGTTGATGTGTGGGCAACACTGGCCTAGTGAGTAAAGCAGGGGCTACATCTGCAAAACGAGGATTAATAGTTTTGCTCATAGCATTTTTGTAAAGATCAAATGTGATAATGGCTCTGGGCATGTAGTCAGTACACTATAGTGGAATTATGTACCATTATTAGCAGGATGAGCTACATAATTTTAGGGATCCAGTGCAAAGTAAGAACATGGGGCCTTTTTGTTAAAAAAAATTATTAAGAATTTCTGGACTGTGATGGCAGAACATCTAACCCAGTATACGCTTCCTTTAAGTTCAGGACCTGTGTGACTGCCTGCCCACAGGCCACTCACCCATGAAGCCCCCTGATTCTTAGTATTCCCTGGGGATGTCAAGGACCCAGGGGAAGAGTTAAAGCCCCCAAGTAGGGCTGGCCGCCAACCAGTTCAGTCACACAGAGTTTCCAGTCAACCACCACAGTGGCCCTTAGTGAAATGGCCCTTGAACCCCTGAGATAAGAGAATGCATTCTGAAAATACCATGCATTCATTAGCTGGTATCAAGATCTGGCTCTTGTCTGGGGTGGACAGTGGATGTTTGGGGAAAAGGAAGTGTGCCTTCTGTTCTGACCTCTGTCTCCTGTGGGAAGGCCTGACTTATTCTCACTATGATTTGGTTCCTCATTCTCCATCAGCCATGGTTGCATCCAAGTTCATAATAAGACACTATAAAACTTGGTTTCATCTTTTAAATTGTTTTTTTTTCCCTTTTCATTCTGACAGATGACCTCCTTGCTTCTGAATCAGGAGGACAGAGTGAGGGAGGAGGGAACGCAAGGGAAAAGACTGAATGAGCTTCCCCAGGCTCCTCCACCAGCCAGGCTGGTCCTGTCCACCGATTATTGCAAGTGATTTAGTCCTCATATCAACCTTATGAAGTGGACATCATAGTTACTTCTATTTTATAGGTAATGAAACTGAGATTCAAGAGGTGTCACCTGCCTCAGGTCATGCAGCTTGGTCTCTGACTCCAGAGACCGGATCTCTTCCATAAAAATGGCCCCAGGCCACCCGGAACATTTTCGGGTGCTCCACAGAGAACGAATGAAGACCTCTGGCCCTCAGCCCATCGCCCGCCCCTATCTCTTCTCATGCCTATGTCCAGCTCCACCCTGCACCAGAAGGGGCCTTGTGTGCCTGTGTATGGACATCCTGCCTTCCCATGTAAGCTCCATCCACGCCACCCCACCCTTTGCAGCAACAGCCACCCCTTAGGTCCTGGGGGCATGCCTGCAGTTTGGGGGACAGGTCTGAAGACATCTGCATGGGTTCTAGGGCAGGCTGCAGATGGGATGCAGCTGGAGGATGGCCATCTCAGGGCGCTATGAAGCTCTGGGCCCAGGCAGGGTCCCTGCTGCCCGTCTGGAAGGGTGCTGCTGTAGAGCACCTTCCACACAGGCCCCAGTTCCCTGGGCAGCAGGCTCCCATTCCCACTTTCAGGCCCTCCCCTGTTCGCAAATCCCAGAGACTTCCTGCTCTTTGCTGCCTGGTGGCTTTCTCCTTTCTTGAGATCATGTGTTTAGGTGGGTGCAGTAAGGTAGGTTTTCCCTGGAGGTGGAGGCAAAGATGGGGATTCAGGGGAGAAGGAAGCCAGCTAATTGGTGAGAGCAGAGCCCCTTCCACTGTGCGAGGAGCTGGGGTGAATGGTCACATGCCCTGAGTCCTGGGGATGTGGATGCTGGAGCCCAGAGCTGGCCCTGTGACCGTAGGCACACTGGAGGGAAACTGAGTTGGGCTGGGCTCCAAGAAGTGGGCTGAGCTGAATTCATTTGTCCCCATGGAAACCAGTCCTTGCAAAGCCCAGACCTTAGCCCAGCTGCAAAGGGCTACCCTGCTGCTTTTCATTCCTTGCTGAGGCCCAGGACTAATTCCACCAGTTTGGGAGATGTCAGAGTTTTGGGACAGAGTCCTTCCCCACCCTCAGCTGCTGGCGGGAACTTACATGTTTGGACTTCCAGCCCAGATAAGTCAGTGCCCTGTTTGGCTTTGCTTAGGGCAGGGAGGACCGTGACTTCCTGAGGGGTAATCTATATACAGGGAAGCTCAGAAAGCAGGTCTGTGCAGAGAGAAGAAAAGACAGCTGCAGAAAGAGAGAGCTTGGAGCCTCACAGCTGTCCTTTCTGGGCCTCGGGAGGCCCTGTCCTCTCCTCTGGCCCACTGTCCTGTGGCCTGAAACACCCTTTGCCTGGCAGAGCTAACCCAGCCGTTTACCTCATCCTCAGACTCCAGGAGCATGCATGCCTGGCCTCCAATGCCAGCATCAGCACTTCTTTGCCTGGAGATCTTTGGCCTCCACATCCACTTTGCACCCTGGGACAGGCCAAGTGTGGGAAGTGCCACGGAATTAGGGGTGGGAGTTCCCAGCACCCTCGTCCCTCCAGGATACCTCTGAGGCATGTATTCTACGCCGGCTCCTGAGTCCCCATTGCCTGCAGTGTTTGACCGCTTGATAACACACCACATAGGCTGCGTTCCTCTCCCTGTCTCACTTCTCCACTATACTTCCTGAGATCACCTCCTCCCAAATAAAACATGGCACTTGAATCCTTGTCTCAGGATCTGTGTCCGGGAGAGTCCAATAGCCAGTTGAAAGGAGTTTCAAAGGCAGCAGGGCCGTGTGAACTCTCACCATGCCTCTTTCTCGTAGTCTTCTGTGAAAGCAAGAGCCACGCCCTCTGGCACCCCTACAGCCCCCATGCTACAGGAAGTGCAGCCCACACATGGCCTCATGGCCAACAGAGGTGCCTACCTCCAGAGTACATGTCAAAAAAGCTCTGTCTCAGCACTGTTCCCGTGGATCCTAAGGGATGAAAAAACAGACAATTATTTGCTTTAATGGGTCATTCCACCTGTCATTTTGTGGAAAATGACTACTCTGTAGTTTAAGGTCTAGAAATAGAATAATAATGGAATAAAATCAGGTCCCATAGAAAGCATGCAGGATTAAGCAGGTGCCCAATAACTACTGGGCTGATCTGAGAGGCACAAGGACATGGTGGAGGAGGGCCCCTGGAACTGAATTGAATTCGAACAGCCTGGGTCTATGTGCTGCCTTACCACTTCCTAATGAACAACTCAGCAGTTTTACCTCAATTTTTGCATCTGAACAATGGGCTATGGGAACTGAATAAGATATATTTGAAATAGCATACAAGACACAATTTAGCGGCAAAATAGTAATGAAAATAACTACAATTGTCATCATTATTTCCACCAAAATGGGAAATCTACAATTTGAGTCCTCTAACTCTTGGAGGGAAAGAGATTTTCAGTGGGTTGAACTGTACTCAGTGCCCTGAGTTCAGTAATCTCAATTGTGCTTTGTGGGTTTTGCAAACGGTCCAAGAGCTACAGGGAACCCGGTGTTCTGGAGGAAAATTGCAGTTCTCACTTTCTGTCACTAGATGGAGATGTTGCAGAGGAGATGGCGGTTCTACATCCCACCACCGGTTCCTCCCGCTCAAGTGGTTTGTGGAATCCGGAAGAGCGTGAAGGGGTGGGGTTGGGGGTGGGGATGGGGGTGGAAGCTCACCTTGCAGGACCCCTCCCGGATCCTTCAAGTCACTAATTTCCAAACCCCTGGGACATTTCATGTGGGGATTTTAGGAGGGGGGATATGAACCTTTTAAACTGAGATGTGTCTTTGTGGATTTTTCTGGAATTAAAGGAAGGAGATGTAGTTTGAATAGTTTCTCAAAGTAATCTCTGCCCCCTAAAAGGTTAAGAGCCATGAATCTTTAACAATCCTTTCGTTGGAGTGATTTCTCAGACTTCCCCACAGCTGCCATACAGTAGGCGCACACATCCTTGGGGACATTTCTAGTCTAGGGAGGTAGTTCAGTGGAGTGATTAAGACCTGGAGCCAGCCAGATCCAGGTTAACATCTGTGTGATTCTGTTGGCTGTGTAACCATGGGCAAGTTGCCTAACCTCTCTGAGCTTCATTGCTGACCTGGAACTCGGTGCGGTTTCTGAGCATGGTTCATTCTAGTGTGATGATGAGATTAAATGAAATAGCTAGCTCATAGTAAAAGTTCAAAAAATGTTAGCTTTTAGTACTGTTGGTGGTTGTTTTGTCTTTGGGCTTTGGGAGGGCTGAGGAAAGAGGCCCCAGTCTGGGCGCATCTCATCAGATACTATCCCAGAGGGCTTCCCCGGGAGGGGCGCACTTGGGGGAAGAGAAAAGCAGCAGGTTGTAGCCAGGCTAGCCACAGGCCATTGTCAAAATTGGTTGAGTAAATGAATGAAGATGTGTGGTCAGCTTTGTGACCTCATGTTGTTCCTGTGGTTTCATGGGTGTTGGTGTAAACCCGCAGGAGAAGCGTGTCCTTCTGGGACAGGCACACAGGCAGGGGCCTGGCTGGACTGCGGTGTGACCCGGTCTTTCATCCTGTTCCCGCAGGCCAGACAGACCCCCCTCCTGACAATGCTGCTGACCCAGGGCACATGGAAGGGGCTGAGCCAGTGTTGGGAGACTAGATGCACACTCCACAGTGGGGGCTGCCTGGGTAGCAGATCAGCAACTCACCATTCACCAGGGCAATGTTCAGGCCCCTGCCCACGTTGTCTTTCACAGGGCTCATGATCCTGAAGAAGGAAAGAAAGACAAAATATGACAGTGAGTCCTGAGTGTGGAGTGCACCCTCTGCTGCCCCAACTCTGGAACTCTGAGAGGGCTCACATGGCACGATGCAGAGGCATCGGGAAGCACCCACAGTGATTTGGGCCATCTGTTTTCTTCTGGAAATGATTGGTGGGCTGGATTCTCCAAGGAGTCATTCATGGCTTGTTTGGACCAGAACAGTCTTCCCCGAGAAGAGGAAAGATCCTTGCCTGGGGCTCTCAGGTTGTGGAGGTGGGGCCAGCCCAACCACCCAGGCCTTGAGGGAGGCAGAACCCAGAGTGTCACTGCTATCCTCAGTGGTGTCTGTGACTCCCCACATGGAGCCTGACTGTGTCCCTGTCTGCCCAGTATCCTAACTCTGTCTCCTGGTGTCCCTTGGGAAAACCTTTTTCTCCGTCTTAGGCCATGTGGTTCTCAGGACTGACCTCTCCCCCAGGCTTGGACAGCAGAGCATCCTGTGCCTCTGGCCACAGTGATTGGGCCAGGCACAGCCATTCGACCCAAGCCAGCCAATGAGACCCTGTCTGGGGACTTTTACAGGGACAATTCAGATGCGGAAGCTCTCTTTCCTGTGGGGTGCTAGCTTGGGCTAATGTGTCAGCCTGCTGTGGCCTCCCTCCTTTCCATATGACGAAGCCTATTTTCAGACAAGATCGGGCACGTTCAGGGTGGTATGGCCATAGACATGAAGTCTATTTTCCGTAAAGAAAACAGTGCAATGACGGAGGAAAGCAGAGCTGAGGATGGTGTGAGAGGGAGCCCTAATGACATGGCTTGAACCCCTGGATGCAGCTGGTCCTGAAGCCCACTGCCTCTGGCCTTTTAGGTATGTGAACCACTAAATAAATTCCTTGCTTTGTGCAAGTGAGTTGGAGTTAGGTTCAGAATCCTGACTGAAATCCTCATCTCTGGCTGCTTCTGTAGGATGAACTTGCTATCCCATGGCCTTTACCCCCTTTCTCTTGCATTTGCAAGTCCTGGCACCTCTTGGGTTCAGACTTTGATGCCTAGATCTTGATCTTGAACTCTCCCCATAGGCATCTGCCTTCAAAAGAAGCCCAGCATCTTGGCTGCCATACAGGCCTGAGTTCAACTCCTGGCTCTATCACCAGTTAGCTGGGTGACCCTGCCTGAGCCTCAATTTCCTCATCTTTACAAAGGGAATAATTATAGCCACATTCTGGGAGTGTTGGTGGATTGAATAAGATGATGCTGTAGTCAGTCAGGTGCTGTCAGACATGGAAGCTGTTAGGGTTATTGTTATTTGTGACTCAACCACCCAGAGTTAAAGGAAGCATGTGGAACGTCTGGGCTGGTCTCAGCATCTGCTCCTGAAGCCTCTGAGTTAGTTAATGAATGAATGAATGATGGAAACCGAAGAAGAGAAACACAGGAGTCCCTCCGGTACTTACATGTGGCCTTCGAAGCACATGGAAGGGCCCACGACGTTGGCGGCCCCGCTGAGGATTTTAAACGCAAAGAAATTGTTTGGGCAGGGCTTGCTGAGGTCACACTTGTTCCTCACGACCCCTGGGGAGGGAACAGACCCACCTTGGTGGCAGCAGCGGTATGTTGGACCACCCCAGAATACATTCTGGGATTTCCCGTCTCAGCCCCAGCCCCAGCCCCAGCCCCAGCACAGTGCCCGATTGAGGCCCCCGGTCAGTGCATGCGGAGTCATGAGTGGTGGTGATAACAGGGTCACCGTGATTAAGAGATTCTCTTGAGAACATGTCTCTGGGGCCACAGCAGCCTTTTGAGCTCCTCTCCTCCAGAGAGGCCCCTGTCGACAACCTCCTGGGGGTCCTGGCATGGTGGGTAGGAGGGTCTCTTACCAATGGGTTCCCTTGGGCAAGTCTTCAACCTCCTTGCCTGTGAAGTGGGATAACTACGGTGGCTGCCCCACTGGGTGCTTGTGAGGAATAAGCGAGCAGAGGTTACTATTGACTATTTCTCTTCTTGTCATCATCTAGGCATCACTCATGCCTTGAGCATCTACCATGGGCTGGGCCCTGGGAGATGACAGGGAACAGGCAGGTGTGCTGGCTCTCCCTCTCAGTGCTTAGCACCATCCTCGGAACCCACGGAGGGCTCACTATGTGGCACCTCTGTTGAGACCTGCGTCCTCACCGTGTGGCCCTCACAGGGCCGACCCAGGAGGCCGGTGAAAGGCGGGCCGCGTAGGTGGGATCCCCAAACACAGCTGCTGAGCCACTCAGCCCTCAGCAGGCTGTTTTCGAGCTGGGATGTCAGCTTGTGTGCCCTCCACCTGGCAGGTTCTAATTTATACTAATGGGTGTTTTTAACACAACTTGACAGTTGTGAAGGTAACACTAGGGAGGACTGGTAAACATGGAATTAGAGAAAATTCACCTGCAAAGGGAGAGTGGTGGCTGGGCAGCCTCTCTCCCCGCCAGCCCCTAAGCCGGGCATCTGGCTGAGCTGTGCCAGTGTGAGCTGGGAGCAGACCCACAGGCTTGCCGGGAGAAGTGGGCCCACGCCCAGGGCTTGCTGTGTGCTGGCATGGGGGCAAGTGCTTTCTATTTATCATCTTGTGAAATCGTTTCAAAAGCTCCTCTGCCTGGCACAGAGTGGGCACTCAGTAAGTGTTCACTGAATGACCACACAGGGTTTTTGGGAGGGGCTGGGCTGAGGCCAGGAGGGATGCTGCGGTCAGGATGGGGATCGTCTCCAGCGCCTTTGCCAGTTTATGGAAAGTCTCTATGTGAGTCAGGAAGAAGCGCCCCTCTGAGGGGCACAGCCCACTGGTGCCAGGCTTGGTAAGCCCATGGCGCCTCTGAGTGGGAAAAGGAGCCCCTTCCTAGGAGTGAATGTAGCCCATGCCAGGGCACTCTGCCGCCCTGGGCTGGGTTTTGGTCCCCTTGGTTGAGTTTGTAGACCGGCTGACCTGAGCGGAATGTCTGTCCTAGGCAGTTTGTTCCCTCACTCTGAATTTTAGCACACCCACCTGATGGCCGTAACCAGAGCTCAACCAGGACCTGATCACCAGAGAGAGGGCTGGGAGTGGAGACATGCCTGGGGGGCTGTTCAGGAGAGAGTGCATGCCCAGGCCTCTGGCTCAGAAGAGAGAGAGAAGGCTGAAGACAGGGACAGGACTCTCCACAAAGGGGCCCAGCCCCTGCCAGTGGGGTTGGCTGAGGATGAGGCTCAGGAGGGGGTCCTTTTATGAGGCTTGCAGCCCCACCTCTGACCACCTGCCCCCTCACAGAGAGGGCAGTTTACTCTCAAGACCAGAGGGTCTCACCTATGCTGGCAGGTTGTTCCAGGCCTCAGGAACCACCTGAGAGTTTGCCCGGATCCTGAGCAACTGCAGTTAAGTCTGGTAAACCCGATGTCAACAGGTCGGCTTAAGCAGGCTTTTCCAGAATTGATTTTCTGACCATCCAGCCTTCACAGTCAAGCTGAGGGATGAAGGGGATGATGCTCAGGGGCCCAGTCACTGGGAGGCAGGGGATTTGCTCTTTGGGCTTGGGCTTCAGGGCCGCCCCTCCAGCTGCCCCACCTCTGTGGGAGCCCCTGGTGCTGTGGCTTATGACATGGCACTGAGCACTGGAGGGGGTACATGAGGAAGCTTGGGCTGCTCTTCAGAAATCTGCTGTGTGACTTGCCAGAAATCTCTCCCATTGCCTTTGCCAACTGTAAAATGAGGAAGTTGATTTAGACCAGAGTTGTCAAATAGATTTCCCTCTTAACAGCAATGGATCTACTATTAGATTTAGTGGGTTTGGAGGGAAAGAGTGCTGGGATTGATTGGTGATGTCTGCTGTGGGAGCGGGCAAGGTGGGAGGAAGCGGGTGTGCTGCATTTGCCATCTTCCCTGCAGATGACATCTGAGTGTTCAACTCCAAAATGCTGTGACTCTGTGTACTTCAGAAGATGACTGAGGAGGCTTCAGGGAGGTGTAGGGTGTATGGCTTGTGTTCATTCTTACAGTCTTTGCACTCTGTAATCTCCCAGTGCACGGGGCCTCCCAGGCCTCTCAATCAGGTAAAGCCCATTCCTGGAGCTGCATTCCTCCTCAGTCATCACCACATTGGGGTGAGAGGGGTTGGGGGGACCTTGTGGTACTGCCTCTGTTAAGGAGGTGTTGAGAGAGTGGGCTTCACACTAGGTGGGGAGGTTGACTCCCACTCCACCACTTACAGCTCTGTTGCTTTGGCCAAGTGAGTTCACCTCTCTGAGCCTCAGTTCCCTCATGTATGAAATGGGGATAATTATATCACCTACATAGGATTGTGGTCAGGATTTCATGAGATGTCTGTAAAATTCCAGATGCATTGTCTGGCACCTGTTGGGCACTCAATCATCATTACAATTATCACCGTCATAGCTGTCTCTCCCTTCCACCTTCCCCCACCTGGGGAGCTGGGGTCCTTGCTGTTCAGATGTCTGCAGTATCCAGCATTCGAGGTGTCTGCATTTCTCGTTCCTCATGTCCCTGACTTTGCTGCCAAGGTCTCCATGCAGCCCCAGCATTCCTGCCTCTGGGCCATTGCATAGGCCATTCCTGCCTCCACAAGGCACAGCTGAGGAGTCACCTCCTCCCCGATGCCTTCGTGATCCTATCCCATTGGCAGGGGGTCACCCTCCTGGAGCCTAGAACACTTTGCCCTATCTTTCCTGGCACAACTGGCACTTCTACCCCCACAGACAATCAGCACCCCTTTTTGTTTGCCTGGGGTGGGGGTGGTTCCTGTAGTGCCTGATATGGTGCTAGTGTGGTACTTTGAGGCAGGCAGGGGCCATGAGCCAAGCTTGGGGTCATTGCGATGGTGATAATAAGCACAGCTCCATCTTCAGGGATCCCAGCCAGGTGGGGAGAGTCAGAGGGGATGGGGGGACCGGAGAAGCGGGGACAGCCGAGCTGCTCCTATTAGTCTGAATGGCTGAGAAGGGGCCTTCCGTGCCACAGGGCTCAGGGGCTTCAGAAGGCACATTGGGCTATGGGACAAGAGGGCCAGGCAGATTCTGGAAAAGGAGATTTTTCTGGGACCTGCAGGGCTGGGACTAGAGACCCTAAGTCATCTCACTCTAAGGCACAGGGAATGCTGGGGAGATACTTACGGGTCTTCTTGGAGACTGAACCTGCTAGAGAAAAGACAGAGGAATTTGGTTAGAGAGAAAGTGCTTTGGGCCCTCCCTGCAGGATGGGGCCTGGAGCGGGGGCTGGGGAGAAGGGAATTGTGAGTGGTGTTGGCCGGGCTGAGCAGAGTCCCCCTCCCATGATGGGTGTTGAAATGTGCTAAAAGTCCCATCTCATCTGGGAGTCCTTTCTCACTTGCCACTGACACCCCTTCACACACACACACATGCACACATAGACACAGGCACACGGGCTCATGCATGCACACACAAAGATATGTGTGTACACACACATGTACAGATGCACACGTGTGCACACTCATGCACATTTGAACACACAGACACACACGACTCTGTCATGGTTAAAAAGAAGCGGGGCTCTGTTGTGAGACCCCTGGAGGCTGAGCCCTACTCCTGGCTGTGGGACTGGGCGTGAGTTCTGCCTGCACAGTGGAGGCCGTGACGCCCACTGAACAGGCTGTGGAGGAGGCCCAGGGAGGGCCAAGCTGTCAGGGTCCAGCCCAGTACCGGGTGCCCTGGCCCCAGTGCTGATCGGCCAGGTCAGTGTCGCCTTCCTGGTGTTCCCCAGCACCGACTGTCTGCAGTGGGCCTGAGGGCCCACGGTCACCTCCTGACATCTTATTCACACTGTGTCCCAGTTGTTTCTGTGGTTCTGCGTTAGGTCTCCCACCACACGGTGAGTCCTGGAGGACAGGGCCTCCAGTGGCCACAGAAATTTTGAGGGCGAGAACTCTCCTTTTTGGGGGAACCCCCACACTGAAACATTTTCCATTTGGTCATCAGGGGGCTGTTCATCCTGGAGGGTCCCTATCCCCTGTCTCCAAGACTCCAGGCTGGAACCCAGGCTGGACCTAATACTACATACGTTGCTGTGGAGACAGCCCTTCCCTGGGGTGAAATATAGCTCTGGGGGTGGGAGAGGTGCCTCTTTCATCCCCACTGGAAGATGAACATCTGGAGGGGTGGTCGCCACACACCTGCTTAGAGAGAAAGATGCCCATGGAATGAGGTTGGGCAGCAACAAGCAGAGCCCAGGGACATAGAGACTCTGGAGGCTTTGTGGGGGCCACTAGGTCCAACCACACCCAGAGCCCCATATCCATGGACTTCCCAGTTACAGGACACAAGGCACCCCATTGAGTTTAAACCAGTTAGAGTTCAGTTTGTCACCCCCACCTGAAAGAACCCTGCTGAACTGGACAGGTAAATCAGGAGTTCCCAATCTCTGATTCCAGTGCCATGGACCCCTGTGGCACTGGGTTTGGGAGATCCTGTGAATACATTTATTCCCGATCTCTTGAGACACTTAGTACTTCCTGCAGTAACAGATTGCAAGTTATTATATCATAAAATAAAACAGATTGGTTTAGAAAGGAAACCAACTATATATCAATATGTAATAAAAATATTAAAGATAAATTTGTGCCACAGTAATGTATGTGCTTCTATATTAATGTATTAACTACCAGGTGGGCATCTGCAGCCAGGCTAGGAACTTCTGAAGTGAGTGTCACTTCCTCCTGTGCCTGGACACCAGTGGGGTTTGACGGTCACGTTTCCCTCTGGGAGCATTCCCTGCCACCCTTAGCATTTCTCAAGAGTCTGGATCATGCTAATGCATACTTGTTCTTGTATATTGTGTAATTAAGTCTGTTTGTCTCCCCAGCAGCTGGGGCCACGTGTTCCTTATTTCAGGGTCTGGGACCTAACCCAGAGTAGGCACTTGGTGATTTTGGTTGGAGGTGTTGATTTGCCAAACCCCATGTAGTTGAGTTCTGAGAGGGAAACAACTTGTGGGGTCTCCTTTCAAACACTGTCCCCTCTCCTACCTCTACCTGGGGCCCTCTCCTCTGGAGGGCACCCCGATCTCCACTCCTGCCCTGAGCCTCCATCACTGACCTGGGCCCATCTCCTTCAAGGCCATCAGCACAGCCCAGTCAATCTCTAGTCTACAAAGCTGTGCTCTGGGCCCAGGGACATGGTGGCCATCAAGCATCTACACAAATCACCCTGCCCTGGGTATGAGCCCTGGTTGACAAGTGGGTGAGGTAAGGGGTGTGTGAGACTCTGTTGTGGGGAGTTTGTATTAGAAACAGGGTGACTGACTTTTCACTGCTGTGAGGCTCTGAGCTCACCTGTCCACTACAGGTTGTTACATTTGCCTGTGTCATTGGAGGTGGTTCTTGGTCTTCAAAGAGGACAAATTCAGAGATAGAAATCCCTTCCCTTTCTCTCCTTTCTTTGATAAGATTTGGACCTGGGAATCTTGGGTTCCCATTCCTATTCTGACATCTACAATGGGAATTTGGGTAAGTTTCTCAATCTCCCTGAGCTTTTCTTTCTCAGACAATGCATACAGCCATGACATGAGGTCATGCATGAGTCTGTTACACACCACACCATGGACCACCCCATGGGGAATTGGTACAGATTACAGGGGACTATGCATGTAAAGCAGCTGGCATCTGTCACCCATCCATCACCTATCCATCTGTTCACCCATTCATTCATCATTCAGTCATTCCTCCATCATCCATCATCCCTTTTTCTTTCACTTGCCAAATGTTTATTAAGGATTTACTCTGCATGAAGTGCTAGAGAGATGGATATACCCAAGATAAACTCCTTGCCTTCAGGAAATTGACATTCCAGAGGGTGGAGATAGACAACAACCCAGTAAACAAACAAATAATGTTGATGATGATGCTCCAAAGGAAATGGGCTGACATGAAGGAGGCTAAAGTAGGAGGAGGAGGGGATGCAGCCTTAGCTGGCGTGGCCAGGGAAGACATCTCTGAGGCAGTGACACTTGAGCAGACACCTGAAGGCTGACAGGAGCTGGCCACAGGGAGGTCCCCAGCAGAGGGAACAGCAAGTGCAGGTGGAAGCCACTCAATGCACGGACAGTTTTCTCCCTTCCCTTCTCCCCTGCTTCTTTCATCCTCCTTCTGTCCTTCCTTCTTGGGGCACATTTCCAGAGTAGCCCTTGAGGTAGGCATATGCTTTGGCCAGGGCCTTGGGACACGTCTCTGTTCCCCATGGGCTCTGGGGTTTTGACAGCCTGGTGTCCTCTCTCACCTCCCACCTCCCATGGCTGGGGTCCCAAAAGCAAGCCCACACACTGCCAATATCTCTGGGGTCACCAGAGATGGAGGGAAGAATGGGCCCTTGGCCCTTGGTCCTGGCCTACAGGCCCTGCCCCCAGCAGTGAGCGGCACTCACCCAGCCAGCGGGGCAGACGGATGGTTTTCCAGCTGAAGCTGATATAGCTGCGGACAATGACCCATGAGGTGATCAGCACAAAAATGAGGGCCAGGAGGCGAAGTAGTACTGTAGAGCAAGGAGACGCTGCCATGAGACCACAACACCAGGCTGCATCGCACGGCCATGTAGCGTGACTACATGCGAGTCCTTGCCAGATCCCCACAGTGAGACCATGTGGCGAGCCCCCATGTTGTAGGTCCATACCATACCCACACTACACACCATGGACCAGTCCACAGGCCCATGAGGTGAGGCCAGTGTGACCCATGAGATGACAGAATGGTGAGATCACGCTGTAAAATGATGGGGCCCCATTCTCCCAAGTGGCACCGGCAGGAGAAAAAGTTAGAAATGCACTGTCCTGGAGCCCCCTGAGAGAGAATCTCTAGGGGTGAGGCCTGGGAACCTGAGGCAAGGGGTAGGAGGCAGACTCTGCTGCAGACAGCCCTGCAGGTGAGCCACAGAAGTCAGGAAGGCTGCGTCCAGTGCTCGCGGCAGCCATCCACTGCTGTGTGATCTCTGACAGGAGCTTGGCCTCTCTGAGTTGGACTCCTTCAGTCTAGACAGAGTGGATGGACATTGTAACACCCTTGCCACTGAGCCCATGGCTTATGGGGAGTGGGTTAGTCCCCACATTGTCCACTGACACCCTCTGAGAGCCACCACAGACAACCACACAAGGTCCTCGACAGGAACACGTGCTGGCCTTGCTGTGGTGGCCTCCCCTGCCTCACAGACAGATTGCTGCCTGACTCCCACCCCACAACTGCCATTAGGGAGCAACCCCACATGGGATGGACCACCCTGAGCTCCTGGTGCCTTTCCTCACTCTTCCACGAGGATGAGGAGGGGCTTCAATACACTGCCCCACCCGCCTAAGGACTCCAGTGCCTCCAACTACCTCCTGAATTCAATCTAACCATCAGGCAAGTTCCTGCCCTTTGCCTGACCTCCCTCCAGCAGCAACCTTCTCAGCCCTGAATTCAGCTCTGTGGCCTCAAGCTACTTGGGATGGGTGAGAAAGCCCCCTGGATCCTGTGGGTTGGAGCTCAGGTGTGTGTGGGTCCCTCATCTTCTAGGACAGTGTGTGGCATGGGCACACAGAATTTCTCTTGGGGATCACATCACACAGCACTCATTTTGTACCAGGCACTGTGCCAACAGCTCTTACATACACTATCTCATTTCAGCCTCACAGCAGCCCTCTGTGCTGGATCTTACTGATCAGTTCCACTTTACAGATGAGGGAACTAAAGCTCAGAGAGATGGTTACTTGGCTAGTGATAGAGGTGGGATTTGAACCCAGGATAGTAAGCTGCTTTGAAACTTGTTCTCTTAACACCCTCACGGCTGTTTGGGAATCTCAGTCAATGAACTCTGTTCATTTCCTATTTGGTGCCTCAGCCTCTCTATCAGTACAAAGGAGGTAAAGCATGAAGGTGTAGACTAGAAGGCAAAGGCTTTTCCTCATGCCCAGCCCTATAATATGAGGATTCTACAAGAGCCTTCCTTGAAGCAAATATTTTGCCCCTGATTTCTAGTCAGGGTCAGGTGTTTCCAAGATAAGGAATCCCCAAGATCCCAGGCAAGTGAGTTCACTGTGCCAAAGGTTTCCATCCCTTCTGCCCAGGGGAAGAAAGTCGCCTCATTCACTTTTCCAGGCTTGCCCTGGATTAGTTTCCTCCTGGAATTCTGGCCTGACCATTTGAGGAAGACATAGCCAAATGATCTCCGAGTTCAGGACAGGCAGACTCTGCTGACAGAAAAATGATTCCAAAACCAATTTCAGACCTCAAGCATGGCCTTCTAATCCTGAGCCCTGGCCCTACCTGACATTCTCATCCTGTCCAGGCGAGGAGCAGCTCGGGGTCAGTGTTAGCCTGTGGAGAGAAGGACATTGAGCTGGAAACCAGTATCTGGGTCTGAAAGTGAACAGACTGAAGATTAGGGACAGGTGCCTCTACCCGAGGTCACCACCCCTTCAGTTTGGTTCCTCACCATCTGCCATGTGAGGAGGGGAGCAGTTTTCTTCTTCCCTCTCTGCCTTCACCTCTCCTTCACTTTTTCTTCTGGGGTTTTACATTCAACATGTGTTTTTCATGTGTAGACATTAAGAGGTAGAGGCAGGTGCACTTTGCAGTTCTTGGAGAATTGATTTATTCATCCATCCATCCATCTACCCATCCACCCATCCGTCCATTTGTTCATCTGCCCATTCAGCCATCCAGTCAGCTGAGAGATACTGAGATAGCTAGCCCCATGGAAACTATCAGGGAGCAGAACTCAAGAGATCTTTGCCGATGTAGCAAAATGAAGAGCAATCAGGATCCGCATATTGCAGGTGAGTTCGTGCTGGGTGCTGCATATGCATTATCTGCTTCAACCCTCACAGCCCTGCATTTTAGCAGCAAGTAAGCTAAGACTCACTATGCTTAAGCTCAGTGTTATTCAGCTTGCAAGGGTCAGAGTCAGAATTTGGAGGCAGGTCTTTGGCTGCCCAGTCCCCACAGGCTCCCTCTGCCAGTGCTTTTTGTCTCAGAGGAGAGTTGAAATCAGTTTCCTCCCTGGTTGAGTCCTGGCCAGGGGTAGGGTCATCCTTGGGCCCACCTCTCCCCTGTGCCAACCCCCAGAGGCTGGGCAGTTACCAGTGATCCGGCAGCTTTGAAACCCCCCAGTGGGACTCTGGAGATGCAAGGGAGCAGAGTGAGGGCTGGAGGTAACTGTCCCAGGTCTTGGACCCTCCACCGCCAGCTGGAGCGTCTCTGACGGGCCTCTGACGGGTCTTTGACGGCAGTGACTTGCTCCCACCACTTTTCCTGCCCCCTCCCCACCCCAGAATCTTCTTTATCATAAGAATCTATTTCAACAGACGTGGTGTCCGAATCCCAACCGCCAAGGATCCAGACATGAGCTAGGGGACCTGGTAGTGAGGCAGTTCGGCTGGGTCTGTGATTGAAATGACAGCAACAGCAAATGCAAATCCATGTCTCCGCCTGAGGGTTGTGGAAACCCTCCCACTGCCCTGGCCCTCCTCCTCCAGGGCCTTGGAGGTGAGAAAGCTAAGCCGCTACCTCCTGGCCCACTCACAGAGATTTTGTACAACTTCCTGAAATTCAAACGACCAACTTTTTTAGGGGTGGACAGGGTAGAAGGACAGGGTCGGACAGAAGGGAGGAGGGGTTAGACAGATGAATGAACGGACATGGATATTCATAGAGACAGAGACTGGGGAGGCAAAGACAGGGACACGAGGGAACAGGAGATGGCAGAGACGCAGAGACAGAAGGAAAGAAAACAAGATGGCGAGAGAGGGACAGGGACAAGGAGGACAACAGAGGTAAAGAAAAATATGAATTGTGTACACCCAGATTCAGAGAGAGAATGGGGGGCGCTGATGTTAGAGAGAGAAGAGATAGAAGGTGGGGCACATACCTGGGCAGGAGGGTGGCCTCTTGCTGTCATGCCCACGCCAAGCAGGGACTCTGGTTTCAGAGCAGGGGCAGGGTAGGGACAGGGGTAGCGAGGGCTCTCCCAGCCTGATGTTCCTCCTGGCTGAGTCCCCGACAACCCACTTAGCACCTGCAGGGCTCTCTGCTCCCCTGTGTCCCCAGACGGCTCATCCTGCCAGCCCGTGCTGCTCTGGAGCTGGAGCCCAGGACCAGCCTCCTGGGGGTGGGGAGGGAGGGCCAAAGGCACCTAGAACAAGTATGAAGACAGGGTGGAGCAAGAATTCACTCTGCAGCCATCCAAACACAAAAGTTTCTTTCCTCCTTGTTTTTGCTGAGATTGTCACAACCTGTTATTCAGGTTAGGAAGTTCTGGGGCAAGGGCACAGGGAGGGATGTCCTGATGCCCTCCCTGCATGGCTGCTTGATGGGCTCAGGTACAGATATGGTGGCTCCAGGGTGGTGGGCGATCACAGGTAGACGGGGTGGGAGGGCGGAACGTAGGGGATGGAGTTGGGGGTGGGGAGTGGGGGAGCCTCCCTGACTGGGGAGCCCATTGTCTGCCCACACTGTTCTTGAGCCTCTCCCCTTATCCTGCCCCTCCCCGGACCCCTTCTCCTTTCTGGCCAGGTGCTTAAGCCCTTTTTAGTCCCTTGCAGGCAGGCCTTATCTCCTGCAGGCCTGGTGTTAATTGAGCACTGAGAAGTGCTTGAGTATTTTAGACTGAATTAACTAGATTCTTGCATAGTCCTGGAAGGTTAAGATGATTAAGCCATCAGCTAGAGGAGAAAGCAGAAGTTCAGACTGGGCAGGTGACCTGTCTAGGCCACACAGCCCATTATGGATTGTGTTCCCTAAGCGTTTTCTGAGCACGCATGGGAAGGCAGGCTGTGCACTAAGCTTGGGAGATACTGCTGTGAGTGAGACATTCTTTGAGCATCCTGGGCCTCTGCAGTGCTGGGCCCTCTGTCTGAACAGTGTTCTTCTGCCAGTTTGTCTGGGACACTCCTACTCATCCTTCAGGTCTCAGCGTAGAAGATGCTTCCTCTGGGAAGGCTTCCCTGATCCTTTAAATCGAGGTTAAACACTTAGCTGTGGCTCTAGATTGGGGGACACTCATCATAGTACCCCCACCCTGTCCAAAGGGGCTGGCCAATCAAAGCATTGTGATTTCCTTGTGATTGGTTCAGGAAGGAGCATATGACCCAAGCAAAGCCAATCAGAGTTTTCCCTTAGATGGATTTACAGAAACTGGGGAGACAGGCTCTTTTCTCCTGATGATGCTAAGCCAGACACCCGTGAGCCTGGGGCTGCTGGAGCCCCGTTCTCAGCCATCACAACACGTCACCTGCGACTGCAGACAAGTCTCACCAGAAGATGTGGGAGCAAAGGCCGAGCAGCAGGGGCAGCTCGTGTGGTTTTGGTCCCGAGGGAATCAGGCAGTAAGAGGCCTGTGATGCTGAGAAAGGGGGTGGATGTTGCCATCAGACTGACCTGAGTGTGCCACTTACTAGCCATGTGTTTTGGGGCACCTCTCTCTGGGCTTTGGCTTCTTCTGTAAAATGAGGGTGATACTGTTTACCTGTCCTGAATGGCATGTGGGGCAGGTTTACAAGCCCTCTGGCACCTATGCCATCCCCCCCGGCCCCTAGCCTGTTGGCAGCCAGGATCACCTGCTGCTTCCTGCTAGTGTACCTCCATGGCAGGGTTCCCATGCGGATGTTTGTTCTTTCTGCAGAACCCAAATGCTGTCACGGTATCTCTCTGCCTGACTGCTTGTGACATTTCTTAATGGCTCTATAGGAGCCAGGACATCAGCTTTTACTGTTTTTTGGGGCCTTTTGTTCATAGGGGATTTCAGCCTGTCCCAGAATCAACATGGATGAGGAAAGGGTTACTCTTTCCCCAGGCTAGGAGGTCTGGAGAACACCTTGATGGAGAAATAAGTGTGTATTTCCTTGCTTAAATCTGGTCTATGGTTCCTGTTGCTCTAAGGATAAGGTCAAAGTATTTCACAGGCTTAAAAGGCCTTGAGAGATTTGACTCTGACATGAGGATGACCTTGCCAACCTCATCCTGTGCTGCCTCTACTTCACACTTGCTCTAGCTACCCAGCACTGCCAGAGGGAGGCTTTCCCCCTCCCAGGCTTGGGGCATGCTCTTCTCTCCACTTAGACTGCCCTTCCCTGCCTCCTTCCCTTGGGTCACCCTTCCTTGTCCTAGGTCCTTACCCAGCATGTCTTTGCCATGGGAAAGACAAAACTCTGAAGCTGTTTCCTAGCTCATTGTGAGGATCTAGGTTCAGCCAACAGTCACTTCAGAACTGGCCCTGAGTCACAGGTATAATGAAAACTGAGCTCCGTGAGCAGGCTCTGCATCCTTCCTGACCACAAGTTCAACCTGCTTTCTGCTTACCAGGTCATTTCTAAGTAGGCGTGGACTTGAGACCACATGTAAGCTTGGAGGAAGAGGAAGTTTGGACGCAGAGACATACACGGAGGACACTGTGGGAAGAGTTGAGTTACCGCCACGGCCATGGAACCCAGAGCCTTCTTCCCCAGCACCTTCAGAGACAGCAGGGCTCTGGGACACCTTCTCTCAGGCTTCCGGCCTCCAGAGCCATGAGACCATGTTTCTGTGCTTAGGCTGTCCGGTCTGCGGCACTTGGTTAGGAATCCCTAGCAGACAGCACAGTGGGGCCAATCCGAGGGTGGTCTGCTCTCTCACTGCGAGTCCCACAGTGGAACCAGCTTCCGTTGCCCACAGTCACCTGGTGGCTCTCACCCTGTTTACAGTGTCCTGCCCTTCCCTGTCATACTTCCCTCGTCCCCTGCCAGTGCCATCTGGGTCACTTCCCAAGTAAACTACTCTCCCTTGTATCTTTTCCTTAGGGCTTACCTCTGAGGAGACAAGCTTAAAACAGCATAAAGTGGATCCCTCTGCTCCTCTTGGGCTTCCAAATCCATGACCCCATGTTCCCATAGATACCCCTTTCTCCCCACTTCAGACCAAAGGGGCTCCTGGAGAACTAGCCTGGCCTGGTGGGGTCCCTTCCTACCCTCCGCGGCTCAGCCACGAAGCCTCCTCACTATCCCCGTTACTTCTGCCCGGGGGCCGTAGCCTGTCACTCCAACCCTCCATGTCTTCCCAGGGGCCTGTTTTTCTGACTTTTCTTCTAGCCTGAACCCCAGGCCCTGGGAACCTCCCTGCACCTCTGTCAGGACAGAGGGACCATACTTTTCTGATGAGCTCTTGAGCAAGACTTGCTTGACTGATAATAAAGATAATAAACTATAATAAAATAACAAAAATAGCTACAATTTATGGAGGGCTTACTGTGCACCTGGAATCAGGCTTAGAATCTGACATATGTATCTCACCAAATCCCCATGAATTGGGTACACTATTGCCTTCACTTCCTAGAGGAGGAGGCTGAGGCCTGACCCGTGGAAGTCACATGGCTGGGTCTCCCAGCTGTGCTAGCAGAGCTGGGGCTCATACCATCCTTTGCAGATGGCAGGGTGTGGAAACACCAGCCAGGGCAGCCAGCAGGCCTCAGGCTCACTCTCGCTCACCACGTTCCGCTGAGGAAGGGAGTGGGCACGAGGAAGGTCTGTGTGCCCAGGAGGAAGGTGTGATTGACTCTTGAAAAGGTAGGTCTTTTAACTGGAGCTCAAAGGATGATCCTACACCAAGAAACTATCCTGACCTCAAGGGCGATGATCAAATACCGCGGAGGGCTAGAGCTTTCCTTCACTTAGCAACTGAACATTTGGGGCAGGGATGGCAGATATGATCAAATACCGCGGAGGGCTAGAGCTTTCCTTCACTTAGCAACTGAACATTGGGGGCAGGGATGGCAGATATGAGCATATGAGTGGCCCACCCATGCCAGACCCACTGAAGCAGGCATAGGTTTGTCATCCTGGGAGGGGGCCTTCTCTGTGTGGGCACAGTACCAGTGGAGTTGGGGCTGGTCTCCACAGCATCTGCCTTCCTGAACTAGATGCTGAACTGGATTCCTGAAACACAGCGGATGGGGCTGACGCCTCCCTCTTCTCACAGATCAGCCTGAGACCTTGCAGGTCTGAGCCCTTTGAGTCTGTTTGGTCAGGAGTTATTTGGGGATCTCTGTGACATCTTTTTAAAAAATCCAACTTAGCCTTGGCTGGTGTAGCTCTGGACTGAGCTCCAGCCTGTGAACCAAAGTGTTGCCTGTTCAATTCCCAGTCAGGGCACATGCCTGGGTTGTGGGCAGGGCAGGTCCCCAGTAGGGAGTGTGCAGGAGGCAAGCACACATCCATGTTTCTCTCCTTCTCTTTCTCCCTCCCTTCCCCTCTCTAAAAATAAATAAATAAATAAATAAAATCTAAAAAAAATCCAACTTAATTATTCATCCTACAGTATTTCCTGAGAATCTCCTCTAAGTAATCACTATGCTGGGGGGCGGGGACAGAGCAGAGAACCAACCAGGTTCTTTCCTACTAGAAACACACAGTGAAGGGGGGAAAAGACAAGGCTGTGGTGCCATGAGATAAGGGCTCTGGTGGGGGTTCCCTCAGGGGACGTCCTAGCCTGGGGGGCTGTCTGAAAAGGCTTCCTGGAGGAAGCGACACCTAGGCTGATGGAGTTCTCCTGGAAGGTGTTTCAGGAAGAGGAAACGGCGTGTGCAGGGGCTCAGAGGAAAGGTAGAGCATGCTGCTCTGATGGTGCAGACCAGAGTGAACTACTAGGGTCTTACGAACAGGGGTGGGGGGGATGGCCCTGGGTTTTGTTCTGAGGGCAGTGAGGGGCACAGGAAGAAGTAAAGAGGGCCAGCAGTGGAAGCTCAGCTCAGCTTGGAGGGGGCAGCACTTCCTCCAAGAAGCTTTCCCTGAGCCCTGGCTCCCGGCCTTTCCCTGGCGCTCTGAGCATCCTTCTGTGAGGGGGCCTAGTCCTGCTTCCTGGGCAGCCTTCATTTTTGGGGCTGGCTTCCCCTGCAGGCAGCAGCTCTCAGCGCCTTCTTCACCCATGTCCCTGGTGCTAGCACCAAGGCACATAGTAGGTGTGCAGTGAGTGTTGTTAGAGGGATGTGAGGGGCTTTCTGCTTGGAAAAGAAAATAAAGGAAGGAAAACAGACAAAGCGAGAGCTGCTCCCTCCATCTAAATGGCTATTTCCTTTTTACCCCATGGCCCACATTTTTTCCAAAGCCGAACTCTGTCCAGAGGACCTGCTCAGACTTCAGAATCCAACTAGTCTTCCCTGGAAATTCAACCTTGGGTCATTCTCCTCATCATCCCTGGAAATTCTCCAGTTTAAGTGTTGTCACCAAAGGTGCGGCGGGGGGTGCCATCTGGTTTTCCATTGTCCTCCTTTTGCTCCACCATGTGTGGGAGGGGAGTCGCTGCAAGGGAGGAATCCTGCCTGTGTGGGTGGGGGGATGGAAACTACAGAGGGAGCTCCAGGGCCTGAGGGCGACCAACTCAGTAAGAAAGAACTAAGACTGAGGGAGAGAGCCAGGAACAGAAGAAAAAAGAACAAGAGACCATAAGAGACTGAAAATGACAGACATGTGCACACACAGCTGTGAGTCAGTGGCTGCTGAGTCCGGCTGGGAACCGGGGACGTGCGCAGCCCTGCCCAGGCCCTATTTTCTCTCTCAGTGAGTTTCCAACCACTGCGTCCCAGGCTCGTGTGCAGATATCAAAGTAACCAGAGGGTGCCTTCATTCTCTAAGTGGTCCTTGTAGAGTCCCGGTATTTATAGGCAATTATTGACCATGTCACCAATACAGAGGGAGATAAACAATGAATAAATCTATAAACAATAAGGCTGGTGGCTCCAACAATTTGTCCTAGTGACATTTATTTCAGAAGGAAATAAGCCCCTTATTTCCATTATGCCCTGTTTTAATTTTATTTGTTGGTTTTAATGGTTTTCTCCAGCTCCAGCCAGTGGTGGAATTATTGGCCGTGCAGGCTGCACAGCAGGAGATGCAGAAAGACAGGAAGAGGAGCAGGGTCCTCAGAGCTCTTACCCCATGTTCCTGAAGTGCTTCCCAGAATAAGGCCACAGGCAGGCACGGCTGTGAGATCCTGCCTCATGAACTAAATCCTACAACAAACAGCTCAGTGAGGATTTGGGGAAACACAGGAAGGTCAGGTCTCACAGGTAGTAGGAGTCAGAGGAAGAAAGGACCTCAGAGACAAACCCAGGCATTCACCCGACGATAAATTACTGACTTTAGAGAGAGAGGAAGGGAAAGAGAAAGAAATATTGATCGGTTGCCTCCCATATGCGCCCTGACTGGGGAATTGAACCTGCAACCTGGTTATGTGCCCCGACTGGGAATTGAACCCACAAACTTTTGGTGTACAGGATGACACTCCAAGCAACCGAACCACCTGGCCAGGGCAGGAGCCCACATTCTTAACTACTCTGTCTATGTCTGTAGACCAGGGCTCAGTGGTTTTTTTATAAAGGACCAGGAGGAGATATTCTGGCCTTTTGGGCAGTATGTTCTCAGTCACGACCACTTGACTTTGCCATTGTAGCAGGAAAGCAGCTGTGGACAGTACACAAATGAACGGATGTGGCTGTGTTCTAACAACACTTTGTCAAAACAGGTGGTGGCCTAGTTTGGCTGTGGCCCACAGTTTGTGGACCCCAGCTCTGGGTGTGGCCCTTGTTAGCCCAGGGTGGATATGAACCCAGCTGTTCCCTTTGCTGGGCTTCAGCCTGCTTGGGTGTGGGAGCCCCGGTGGTGGCAAGGGAAGGCCACATGGGGTTAGGGAGAGTCCCTAACATTCTGTCCCTCCTCCCTCCCTGATAGCAGTGTTCTCCTCACAGGGAGGGTCCACCAGCCAGGGGCTTGCTGTGCTGGCCTCAGCTGCCGGCCCTCTGTCCTCATGTGGGTTTTCGGGAGGACTTCCTTCCAGTTAACCTGACTAGATTATCACGGGAAGGTGCTTTGCTCAGTGCCTGGCACCCAGGAGGCCCCTGGTAAAGGGCAGCACTGGCTGTATTTGCACCTTCGGGCCTGCAGAGGCCTCACCTGGCTTGGGAATTGCAAGTCTGTGTGACATGGCAGTTAAGAGTGGGGGCTTTGGAGCCCCGTCTGGGCTCTGTCATGGATCTGTGGACATAATTTTCTCTCAGCCTCCGTTTCCCTGTCTGTGCACAGCCATCAGAATCTTTCATTTAGTGAAGATTTAATGAGAGAATGCACCCAAGGAAGATGGGACACAGGAAGTACTCCTGACAGTTCTTAAGCAAACAGGCCCCTGTTCTCTCCTTTGGAGATGTTCTCTCCACCCTCCCTCCCAAGGAAGCAGCAATCCCTCCAGGATGAGACAAAAGTGTACTCAGAGGGAGAGTGAGCTCCTCCAGGCTGTGAGAGAGCAGCAGGAGAAAGGGGGAGGCCATGAGGCCAAACATGCAGCCCCTCCAGCGTCAAGGGAGATGGGATAATCTGAGGCTGCTGGGCATCTTTGGGTACACGAGCCCAAAAGGCCAGTTTGCACCTCTTTGCCGAGAGCCTGCATATGGATCACCAGAGGGGACTAATTGGATTGGGGAGGGGCTGCCTGGAGCATCTGGGCTCACCCCTGACTGTGACAGGCCTGCTGTTGGCCAGTCTGAATCACTTTAGCAGGTCAAGCATGAGGGAGTTCACCTCCAACCCAGTGGGTAATTCTATTTTTTTCTGACAGAGGCAGCTGGGGCTTAGCCTCTTTGATTAACCAAGGTGGCAGCCTTCACAATGAAGTCAACTGGTCTTGGGAAGGCATTGGGAGAGAAGTCTTCTCTGGAGAGGTGTGGGATCCAGAGATCTCTGAAGGACAATCTTACTAATGATCATAATAATGATTCTAATAAATGTTATTATTGTTAGCCTTCCTGCTTTGGACCCTGTGTCCTTTCATTTAATCTTCCTAACAATCTTGTGAGGTATATTCTTTTATTAACTGCATTTTAGCCATGAAGAAATTGGGGCTTGGAGAGATCGAGTAACTTGCCTAGGTAGAAAGTGACTCACACAAGTAGAATGACTTTAGCAGTGTTTCCATCCGTTACTTTAGTGACAAGTTAAGTGAGGTAGGATGGTTGCAGCCAGGGTGTGGTGGATATCTATAGCTTTAGTCATCTGTCCAGCATCCATTCTCCCTTCTAACGATTGCCCTCATACCATCATGCAGTTGGGTAGGGCTGGCCCCATTTCTGGCTCCAGGGGTGGCCTCGTGGCCTAGGCCTACTGACAGGGGGGCTGCCCAGTGGGACTCCAGGCTAGGCCAGGCTGCCACCCCTCACACAGGCTGGCCACTGCCCAATGGGAGCTGTGCTAGGCTTGTCAACATTAGTCAGGGGTTGGTCTCATCTGAGAAGGAACTGCCCAGCCCAACATGTTGGCAAACCATGGCTTCAAGTATCCCCTGCCCCAGGAAGGGTCCCTTAGCTTGGTACACTGCCAAATTCCTATTGGATCAGAGTTGCTGGGCCTGTGTATAAATGTGGAAGTGGGCTCAGAAAAAGGTGTGTAGAGGGTGACCACAAGGCAAAATCCAGCTGCTCCTCCTTGAATGAGACCAGCCCATCTCTTATTGGCTGGCCTGGCCTGGCTTGAGGTGGGCAGTGAACAGCCTGACTGGGGGGATGGCAGACGTACTAGAGCAGACAGACAGATGAACAGACTGGAGCAAAGACTGGGCAAAGTCCAACTCCTCCCCACAGCTGTGCTTGGCCTGGGAGCGACCACCTTGCTCTCTCACCTCCCACTACCGGCTCCTGCCCTCTTTGTGCAGAACTGTCTCTCCTGCCCTCCTGCCTCTCCCCTTTCTCTTAGATTCTGCAGTGCACCAAATGCTTACCCACCCTGCCCTCCTGCCTCTGCTAGCATTACTCTGCAAGTTTAATCAGAGAGAAGTCTGCCCTGATTCCTGGGCTCTCTCCTTTATGGCACGTGTCAAAACTGTTTTGAAATGACTATCTGTGCAAATTGTTCTCTTACTTTCTGGCTAGGACCATATCTGCTTCACTATCCTGTCTTGTTAGTCATCGACTCCTTTTTATTGGACATGCAGGTTCAAATGCTCCTTGAAGGAATCACCTGGAAAGGTACTGCTGCACCAGCTCTCTTCTAGCCATGGACTTAGAATCAGTGGCATCACAGAGACAGTGCTGCATGGTGGTGGGCAGTACAAATACTCGGCCACACTGCCCGGGCAAGTGGTTTAATCTCTCTATGCCTTGGTTTCCCACCTGCAACATGGGAGTGGTAATGGTGCCTTCCTCAGAGAGGTGATAGGAAGATTAAATGTGTACTTATACAGAGAGTACTTAGCACGGAGCCTGGCACTTAGTAGGTGCTATTGTATGTGCTTTAGTGATATTATTCTAGATAACTAGGTAGTGAGAACTACAGGGATCAATAGGGGATATCCAGATGATTACTCCCATTTTACAGATGAGAAAATTGAGTGTTAATTAAAGGAAGGGATTAGTCTGACATTGCATAGCTAGAAAATCTTTCAAGACCCTGAACCTTTGTTGTAATTTTTTAGAACATTATTTTCTAAGAAAAATGAGAGTTGGAGCCAAAGAATAACATTCCTTCTTTCTTCACTCATTCTCCAAATATTTGTGTGGCTCATGGTTGATGGTCCAGTATGTTTTTTGAATGAATAGATGAACAAATGAATGAAGAGGGCTCTGTGGTTAGGAAAAAAGGCTGCCATGTGGGCTGTCAGATCCCTGGCTTGCATGTGCCACCTTGTTCTTGTGCTCATGGCAGACATAACTACTCAGTCATGGCTACTTTTTCACTGAGCCTGAACCCCACCTCAGAATCCTCATCAGAGTCCACCATTAACTGATCAGACTTGGCTCTTCGGATAAAATCTGCCTTTCATAGTCCCATCTCAGAAATCTCTTTCATTATGTGGTTTCTTTCTTCCTCTCCTTTTATCTTTCTCTCTCAGGCTCTTTCACTCCTTATTTTCCATTCACCCCATTCTCATTTTCCTTTCTTTCAAAAATGTGGACCCAGAGGTATTGCCCTTTGAATTCTGGTGGAAACATACCTGAGGGATCAAGCCTCCTACTTTCCTGCTTCCGTCACTGGAGAAGACGAGAGGGTCCTGAGCCAGCCGACCACCGCCCTGTGAGGAGAGTCTGGCCTCCTGGTCTCAGAGGGACTGGGGCCTCCCCAGCAGTCCTATAGATGCAGCAGGCCTGGAGGGAGGGATTTACCTTGGAGGGCCAGGCCCTCCTGGCCCTGCCCTGGACTCTGCCCTCCTACAGACAGACCTGGCATAAACTCTCCCTGCCATGTTAAACAATCTCACCAGGAAGGAGGAAGTTACTCTTAGGGCTCATTGGCAGGAAATGAGTCTAAAATCTTGTGTGGCTAAGGAGCCCCTGGAGCCCTGGCTTGGGGCCCAGGCTGCGAGTGTGTCTTCCTCAGAGTTCTCCTGGCCTTGGCAGAGGAAGTTCAGATAGGAATTTGAGCAACTCAATCGGGAATGACAGACCACAGTCACTGCCTGAGAACACAAATCAGAACACAGCAAAATACTGCTCCCCAAACAAGTGAATCCCATGCTGAAAACTCCCCAGGCCCTGGGGGACAAAGTGGGGAGTTGATCTAGCTAGTGATGGTGCCTTCACCTGCTCTGAGGCCCTGGGGCAGGGTGTTGGCTATTGGAGGAAGTAGGGAGGAGGTGAGCCTGTGGGCGGAGACCCAGACTGGGGGTTGGGATGGGGCAGCAAAGAAGGAAGGGTGAAAGGAGACTGCAGATAGTGAGCCTGGATGAAGGAAGGGGGCACCCTTGATCAGGAGTAAGGAAAATAGGGAGAGAGTGGTCTGGGGAAAAGATTCTGCATTTGGTTGGGGCACATGGAGTTAGAATTTACGGCTGGAGAGAGAGAGAGGGAGGAAGAACAGAGAAGGGCTGACTGGTGGTCGGACGTCAGTGCAACAGTGAACACAGTTTTGTTCCTTTCTTTCCCCAGGACTCCAGGTGCATTTAGAGGGGCTCAGTGTCCCCCACTGCTGATCCATCCCCCAACCTCCCAGGCTTGTCACTCACAGCTCATGGTTCCTGTCCCGGAGGTTTTTCTCTCCTTAGGATGAGTTCTTTCCCAGGAGGCACCAAGTGGGCTCATGGGCTCCTGTGGGCCTTTCTCACTTGTTTGCAGGCAGGGGATGCTTCTATATTTGGTGATTTCTACCCAGACTGCTTCCAGAAATGTTGTGTGGCCTGCTTGAAATGAATATCAAGGAACATGAGGGCAAATAGCTGCTCAGAAAATAAAGATGAGCCCTAGCTGGTGGCTCAGTTGGTTGCAGCGTCATCCTATAAACCGAAAGGTAGCGGGTTCGATCCCCACTCAGGGCACAAACCTAGGTTGTGGGTTCCATCCCCAGTCCAGGCATGTATGGGAGGCAACTGATTAATGTCTGTCTGTCTCTCCCCCTCCCTCCCTCTCCTTCTCCCTCTAAAAGCAATGAAAATATCCTTGGTTAAGGATTAAAAAAAAAGAAAAGAAGTAAAAGCGGAGTACCCAGGAGCTAGTGGGAGGATGAGCCTACTGGGGACTGATGTGGTCCCCAAGCCTGTGTTCTGGCTGCCCAGCTGATCCCTGGGGAGGGGAAGTGGGCCCCTTGGGGCATGTCCTCTGGGGACAGGCCACACTTTCCTTCATCCTGACTGGTTTTGGCCTTGGTTTTGTGTCTCCTCCCACTTTCCTCCCCTCCCCTCCCCTCCCCTTCCTTCCCCTCCTCCTGCCAGCCTGGACAGTTCTGCTCAGGGCTGGTGCTTCTTATCATTCAGATCTGACACACTGTAACTGTTTATAGTCAATAACAGTAAACCATTGAATTCAAATCCTGATAAGTTCTGTGAAGAAACCTGTGATGACAGATAGCAGAACTTCCTTCATACAGGGGTGTCCAACCTGCAGCCCATAGGCCACAGGAGGCTCAGGATAGCTATGAATGAGGCCCAACACAAAACTGTAAATTTACTTAAAACATGGCATTTTTTGTGATTACATGTCACAATGTATTTAATGTGTGGCCCAAGACAACTCTTCTTCCAGTGTGGCCCAGAGATGCCAAAAGGTTGGACATCTTTGATTCAGCAGGTAGTCAGGGAAGCCTCTCTGAGGAGGGAGCTTCAGGGCTCTGCTCGTTTCCTATTTGTGCTGTAACAAATAGTGGCTGTAAACAACGCAAGTGCGTCATCCTACAGTTCTGTAGGGCAGAGGTCTGACACAGGTCTCACGGGACTACAACCCACGTGTTGGCCAGGCTGCGTTCCTTCTGGAGGCTTGAGGGAGAATGTTTTCTTGCCTTTTTCAGCTTCCCGAGGCCTTCCACATTCCTTGGCTCATGGCCCCTCCTCCATCTTCAAAGCCAGCAGACTTGCATCTTTCTGACCTTCTGTCCTGACATCTTCCAACTCTTCGCAGGTCTTGAGGACCCTGTGTATACATTGGGCCCCCTGGATGCTCCAAGACACTCTTCTGGGTTCAAAGTGAGCAGATTAGCAAACTTAATTCCACCTGCAACTTTAATTCCTTTTAGCAGTGTAATTAATGTTACATAGTCACAGGCTATGTGTTTTAAGACTTGGGCATCTTTGAGAGCCGTTATTCTGCTAATTACAAATGCAACCCATTTTATTTTCTTTACAGCACTTTCAACAGCCTGAAATGACATTTCCAGAATATTGGCTCATTTGTCACCTGTTTTGCGCTACGGGAAAGTGGGTCTTCTGAGGGCAGAGACCTTGTTGGTGCTGCTCACTAGAACAGTGGCTGGTACCCACTCAGCAGGTGCTCAGTTATGGATTGCTGAATGAGTGAATGAATGAATGAATGAATTAGTGAGTGCCAGCTCACTTCTGCATTGGTCAATACAAATAGCACTGGTCTGAGAGCCAGGAGCTGTGACCCCCATTTTACCCTGAGCAGTTGTATGACCCTCTGGGTCTCAGGATCCTTACAACAGCCTTGGGAGGACGGGAAGGCCCATGGCAGTCTCCCTGAGCTTCAGTCTCAGAGAAGCTAATTACCACTGTGAAATCATCCCTTAGTTTTCCTTCCCACGGCAAAGCACATGACCTGAGTGGGCACCTGAGGGGACATTCTCCCCAGTATTCACTCAGATGGGAACCAGGTGGGTCTCGGCATGGGTTCCAGATTCTGTGTGTACCAGTAGATTCCCTGCCACCAACCCACTCTGTAGGTGGAGAATATGGGTACCATAGTGGATGCTCAATAAACTCTGACTGTGATTTTGACTGATTTTGAAAGGGGCCAGTGTTCTTTCTCTTCTCTTTCGGACAACAACACTGACAGAGTGGGGGTCAGTGTCAAGTCTAGTTTGGTGGGAGGTTTTGAAAGTGCAATTATTGGTGTTGGATAGTTGATTAATTTCCTAGGGGATTGTTGGGGCCAAAGCCTGGCCCAGTGGCTGGGAGGTGGTGGGAATGGTCACCTCCTTTACATTGCTGACAGATTCAGGGCTTGGCTCTGCTGCCAGGGGCCACAAACACTTAAGGGAGTAACTGTGATTCAGTACCCTATTTGTCTTATTTAATTATAAAAACAATACAGTCCTATCATGAAAATTTTGGAAAACACTGGACAGTATAAAGGAAAAAAATCAGACAAACATGACCTCTGGAAATGAAGTTAGTATTTTGGGCTATTTTTCCCCCAGGTCACATAGCAGAAGTCTTCCTGAGCAGCCAGCTTGCACCCTTCTCTGTCCACGTGTCATCATAGCCGAGGCATCCTCTGCATCCTGGAAAACTGGGGGATGTGATTTTTTAATGACTGCCCGTGATCACATTACAAAGCACCATCTTCATGTACCCTCCTAAGCTACCGGGTGTTTCCATGTATGTGCACGTGTGTGTAGTATAATGCAGTGAATTTTTGCAGGCACATCTTGTGATCTTTGTGCACCTTTATTTCCTCCCTTTAAAAAAATAGAACCAGTAGTGCCAGCCTTCCTACACCACAAAGTTTTATGAGGCCGAAGTGATAAAATGGATATTAAGTGCTTTCAAAACCATGGGGAAAAGACCTGTCCAGATGGAAGGCGAGATTTCAAGCATTGCCTCTTCAAGCACCACCTCTTTGGGGGGTGGGGGCGGTGTGTGTCTCTTTCTTTTCTTTTTTCTTTTTTGGCTTAAACAACAGACTTTTATTTTCTCACATTTTTCAAGGCTGGACGTCCAATATCAAAATAATCAGCAGGCTGGTTCTTTGAAGCTTGTAAGTGAAAATCTGTTCCATGCTTTTCCTAGATTCTGATGTTTACTGACAATTGTTGGTGTCCCTTGGGTTTTAGATACATCACTCTGATCTCTCCTCCTGTTCCCATGATGAACTGTATCTGTATTTTTTCTTTATATAAGGGCACCACTCATACTGGAGTGGGGACCTACCCTATCCAATATGACCTCGTCATAACTAATTGCTTTTGTAACAACCCTATTCCCAAGTAAAGTCACATTCTGAGGTACCGAGGATTAAGTCTTCAACATGAATTTTGGGGGGTCATGATTCAATCAGTAATAGAGATCAAATACCGTATTTTACCATGTATAATGCACAACCACGTTTTTGGCCCAAACTTTCAGGAAAAAAATCTTTGTTTTAATTTTTTAATTTAATGTTTATTTACATTTAGAAAAACATGATTGTTGTATTCCAGGGTATTATTTTGCATATGGATATCATTATTGCTTTCTAAAGTTATACTTTTAATGCATAAGCATAAATAAAATAATTAAAAACATTTATATAGCTACAGAATTAGTACTACCCATGTATAATGCACACACTATTTTTCCTCAAAGATTTGGGCAAAAAAGTGCACATAGGTAAATTTTATGTATTCTACATCTGCCCTTGTTTCCAATAAAAAATCTTCTCTTAGATTTTTTAAAACTATCTTACCTATCACTCATTTTCAACCTCCTTTCTTAGTCCTTGAGCTGCTTTATATGTACCTGTATTTTGCTGTGTGTGTGTTTCTAAACAGTTGAGAGATTAGGTGGATGCGAGACCTGGAAAAATAGCAGAGGCAGCATTTATGGAGCATTTAATATTTGCCTGGTGCTCTGGTGAACAAGGCACATGCATAATTTGAGTTCATCATGACAACAACCCTCCAAGGGAAGTACAATTATTACCTACCAATGAGGAAGCTGAGGCACAGAGAAGCTGAGTGACTTTCCTATGATGACAAGCAGGGAGCTGAGGAGGGACAC